AAAAAAAAAAAAAAAGAAAGAAAGAATTTCAGGCTGGAGAGATGGCTCAGAGGTTAAGAGCACTGCTTGCTCTTCCAAAGGTCCTGAGTTCAATTCCCAGCAAGGACATGGAGGCTCACAACCATCCGTAATGAGATCTGGCACCCTCTTCTGGCCTGCATGGGTACATGCAGGCAGAAGACTGTATACACAATAAATAAATCTTTAAAAAAAAAAAAAAGCCGGGCAGTGGTGGCGCACGCCTTTAATCCCAGCACTTGGGAGGCAGAGACAGGCGAATCTCTGTGAGTTCAAGGCCAGCCTGGTCTACAAAGCGAGTTCCAGCAAAGGCACAAAGCTACACAGAGAAACCCTGTCTTGAAAAAACAAAACAAAAAGAAATAATTTATACTGCTCTACTATCCATAAGTGAAAATCACTGGTACTTTACAATCAATCTATAATACTTTAGCATATATTAACATGTCTTTATTAGGTTGTGCAGTACAGTTTCCAGAGTGTCACGTAAGCACTGAAGAAATGGTGGCTTCATGCATATACACGAGAGGAAGAAACTGGTAGTTTCCGCCGACATAGAAATCCAAGCTGTTGCTCATTCCAAATCCCACCATTTGGAAGGTTGAGGCCAGAGGATTGTGCAAGTTCAAGCCTGTCTGGGTTCCGGGGCATGGTGAACTACAGAGTGAGACCCTGTTGAGGAGGGAAGGAGAGAAGGGTATCCAGTGCCTCTAGGATAGCTACACTTCCAGAAAACTCACAGATTTAAGACCCCTACTTCAAATACTGTGTGTTCAGATGTAACATGAATTTGTATTAGGATCTTGGATAAGTTTCCCATCCATGCTAATTTCTAGTGCTGCAGCTTTGCTTACAGCATCCTGACTTCATGGCCTAGTGCGCCTCCCACAGGCTTACCATGACAGTGAGAACCACTGTACCAGGCCATGCGTACACCTGTCTTAATAATGCAGGTTTGTGTTCTTCCTCTTCTCAACTGCTTCCCACTCTCACTTCCTTGTTACTGAAGACAAGTGGGTCTACCCCTTAACTCAGCAGTAGCAGCCCTTTAGCCCTTTAGATTTCAGATTCTTCAAGGAAACACGAGCAAGAGCAAGTGCCTCGTTCCCTCTTCTACCATGCAGAAGTCAACTGGAGACAACTAGTCATGCTACCCAGTCTTGACAGCTTCCCTTGAGTGCAGGCTCCTGCTTTCCCTTCTCCTCAGTGTAGAATTCAGCCAGCACAGCGTGCACACTGAGCAGCTCTAGCACACCCCTTGAGTGCAGGCTCCTGCTTCCCCTTCTCCTCAGTGTAGAATTCAGCCAGCACAGAGTGCACACTGAGCAGCTCTAGCACACCCCTTGAGTGCAGGCTCCTGCTTTCCCCCCTCCTCAGTGTAGAATTCAGCCAGGACAGAGTGCACACTGAGCAGCTCTAGCACACCCCTTGAGTGCAAGCTTTTCTATCCCAGCTAATGGTGATTGTAAAACTTCCAAGCTACATCTCCAGCCCCTGTGCAAATCATTTGAATAGTTATTTCAAGCTATTACACAAGACCGTGAACAGTGCAGGTGATGGCAAGAAGCACATATGAGGTCCACAAGGTGAATGATCTAAATCATTTATTCTCACTACTAGTCATAGCACATAATACAGTATTAAAATATATCATCCTCAATAAATCTTCACTTAGAAAATGTGATTGTTATAGGTAAAATATAGCATTTAGAACTTTCATTTAAAAATACAATTTTATGAAAAATTTAAGCATTTTTAGAATGGGAATTATAAAAATCTGATGAAGAAAATTGTTTCAGATACTATGTATCTTAAAATATTATGCAAAGTCTTTATTCTGAAAACCATGTCAGGAAACAGTACCTGCACCCCTAGTTTCTAATTGCTGTTTCGGTATTATTGACAAGAAAACCCATTTCCAATTTAACACTGCAATTATCTGTCAAATAAGTGGAATAAATGTTGCATACTTACTAAGTTTAATATATACTTTAAAAATGCAGGGC